TATAACATTGATAAATGCAACTATATCGATATTTAGCTTGTCTATGCAAAAAGATCCCCTTACTAATTTCTGGTTGCCACTACCAGATCACGCGCAACTTCATTGATGTAGTTGACACACCAAAGTAAGTAAGTCAAATCAACCATACACATAACTATCATACAAAGATACGTAGAATGATGCAGCTATTTGCTTACAACTAAATATTTTTTGTTAGGTGCACCACATCTCTTTTTTTCGTGTACACGTGCACATACGTACCTGCAGTATCTTACATCGATTGGTTACACACTGATCGTCCACGCACGGCTGGTACATCCCGAGCGTGATGCAGTTCAGAAGTATCACCATCATGCTCACTCTTTCGAACCACGTGAGTATTTGTTAAGGAAAAATCGATAACTGAGTGTTTTTCTTTCACGAATGAACGACGAGAGATCGTGGACAGATAATAAAAGTGGTTAACTACATTTGCCTTCAAACTGAGAAAATTGACGAAAACTGTTTGCTTAGAGAATAAGCGTAGTGAAAAAGTAAATGAATATAAAAGCATGTATTGGGTAAATCGGGTACGCTTTTTTATTCTGCAATAAAAAATTAACTTTTTAAATATGTACCACTCAAAAACGCACTTAAGGTTCTTGCTTTTTGAAAATACAAGAGAAAAAAAGTCGCAAAGTGACTTGATAGTTTACAACATAAGAAAACCGTAACTACGAAAGACTTTTCTTTTGTAATAAGGATTATGCTTTACCAATGCTTTTGCCAGAGAAGAAAGCATTAATGGATGTTGTGGTCTTTTTCACGTGTATTTTTGTGACATATTGGACGTATCGTATAATTTTTTTGTCAATTACGACTTCTTTTCTGACTATTTTGTCATATTTCAAATTTTACCTAAAGTTAACCCGTTTTTATTTTAATAAATAATAATAATTTTTAGTTTTTGTAAATATAGTTAGACGTAGTTCTTTGTCACGAATCTATTAGTATAAAAAACTTATTTTTCTTAAAAATGTGACTTAACTACTTTTTTCCTTGGCACGACAGATATGTCGTAAACTTGAATTTGCAGTGATTCGATGAACAATACATACTGTTTTTAATTTTGTGATTTTTACAATATTTTCTATAACATGCTTCTCATTTCAACGAAGATAATTACATATCTATAGTGTAAATAAAATATATTTGCAGATTAATATTTGCATTTTTTCTTTGTGCAATTTATTTTCATAAAAGTTTTTTATGATTTATAATTTCCTAACTGTATAAAAGTCATTTAACATTAAGCTATTAATTAATTTAACGTTAAGCTATTAAGTAATTTAATGTTAAGCTATTGAAATGTATAAAATAAAGAGTTAATTCTGTTATTTCAAAATGGTACATAACTTCTTTGTTCAGTTTGACCTGTTCTACTTGCATACCACGGCCGTGCCTGGAATTTTCAAACAACCTATAAATCGTGACTGTTTTACTCAACGAAGTATACAGCGAGTATAAAGATATAGTATACAAATATTGTTTTCTCTGATTTTATTAGCCTAAAGCTTATGTTAGCCATGCATTTTATTTATATATTTATCACAAGAAGAACAGTGGAAATAAAATTACAAAATATTCCTTTTTAGAACATAAGTTCATATATATTCTAAGTTTTATTAAAATCTAAATAACACTTTATAATTAGAAAATAGCAAAAATTGCTTTAGGAGCTTTGGAGGGTTTCAATAAATTTTTGAGTATACCGAAATGTTTTGTTAATTCTTTATAGTGAGTGAATAAACTTGTATGACGTCTCAAATAGCACAGAGAATTTAAAAAATAATTTAGTCGTAGATTACCAATTTTGAGTTCATTTTCAGATGCAAAAAGAATCCTTTAACGTCGGAATTAGACAAAGAAGAATCCACGCGGCTCAAACCCGAAAACCAAATCTGAAATTCTTCAGAGTTCAATTCTGTGAAAAGAATTCTGTTTGCATCTAAAAAGCTCAGAATTAATGAGACTAAATTCTTTTTGAATTCTTTGTGTTATCTGGGATATCTCAACTGTTAATAATAGCAGAAAGTTAATTCTTAGCTTTTCTGACAAAACTTAATTTTTATTTGAAAATAAACAAAAAGAGCTCAATCATCGAAATGTTCCTCGTTATTATCGATGACTTTCCGTCATCTTTCGGGCAGCTTGCGAATTCCCAGATGCTTCGAAGCGATAAAGTTATCGATGCTTTTTCGGATTTCTTCTGTTCTGAAGTGAGTATCAATCAAGTGATGCCGCATCGCCTGAAATAGGTGATCGGAAGAAGCTATGTCTGGTGAGTGCGCCACGTGCGGAAGAAGTTCCTAGCTCAACGTGAAGATGATTTGTTTCATCGACAACATACAATATATGTGGTCGAAAAACTTTAACAATCACATGCTTAGTCAATATTGACGTCTAATTATGTCGGTTTGTGCACATTGTACGTTATAAAAGGTTATAACTTGATATATTAAAGGAACTGTATTTGACTGGAGGGTCAAATTGCTTGAAAATCGTGCTTGTTTTTCCACAATTTTTTATGACAAACTAAATGAATATGTGAAAGTGTTATTTTGACGTGTATTTATACGTATAAAGAGAAGAAAAATATAATTTTGACAATCAAATACTCAATATAAGTGTATGGTACATGCAGTTAAAATATATTTTGTTTTTCTTTTCGTCATTTTGCAGTAATATCTTGACTCTCGGTGGTTCAATTAAGCTGAATTTTATTGTGTGAACCACTATAATAGAAATTGAGTAAAAGTTAACAAAAGTGAAAATATTTTAATGGAATATTATTAAATTTTCAGTTTCTTTATGGTAAAAGAATTAATATTTTAAAATTAAATATTTTCGCGAGTTTGTCAGTGGTTTAACCGATAACGACAAGCGCGCGCTTACGGAAATTTTCTACCTAAAATTCAGCTTAATTGAAACATCGAGTCAAGATATTACTGCAAAATGACGATCTTGAAAATAAAAACCAAATATATTTTAACTGCATGTACCATACACTTATATTGAGTATTTGATCATCAAAATTATATTTTCCTTCTCTTTATATGTTGTATAAATGCACGTCAAAATAACACTTTTGCCTATTCATTCAATTTGTCATAAAAAAATGTGAAAGAATAAGCACGATTTTCAGGCAATCTGACCCTCCATTCCCCTTAAGATAAGTTATTAAGATAAAAAAGTGTATTAATTTTCCTTAAGGAAAAGTGGAAGGCAAACTCGAAAAATGTCAATAACGTAGAGACGATTGTCACTAATTGATTATACAATGCTTCTCGTATTTCTTGTACAATTTTGTGCAATCAGAAAGATTTCCCGGTTTTTTTGTGACGCATCCGTTTTGTCCAATAAAAGAATTTGTTGGTCAATAATAGTATTTTCTTATTAGACAAGACGGATATTTCGAAAGTCACAAATAAAACAATATAACTTTTCGGACGTTGATTCGATATAGATTTTAATTCTCTCTATTCCTCTCTTTTAATCATACATGTATAGAAATCTTTTTACAAATTTTTCGTATATTTTTGAATTTATCTCTAAATCGATTTGTAAAGATACAAAAATGTTCCTTAAAATTTTCG